GGCGAGTTGAAGAAGCTGTATACCATTGACGGGCGGCACATGAACAACGTACCCGATGATCATCAGAAAAACCACTTCAACAATCTCGGTCACTTCTGGAACAACTCCGCCCAACCGACTGCCAGGGGAGCACCCTAACAGTTTCATTCCTCCTCCCTGTCATTTACGACCCTATTAATTTTGATGGCACATTCTTTCTCACCTCGAATACTCTCTATTCTCTCATGTAACATTTTTTGTCTTCCATGTTTTATGTGTCTTCTTCTTCGCAACAACCTATAAAAATGTGTATGTATGTATGTGCCCACGTGCTGATACGTTTTTTTGGCAGCAGAAGGGGGAGTTGATATTGGTCACTATTTATCAGTTGGACGACTAACAGGAATTCGTCTTTCTCGCATTTTTCCTGTCCGCCTTGGTTTAAGGAGGGTTCAAAATGAAGAAGATCAACTGGGACACTGTCCGGACCGCAGTGGCATTTTTGTGAGTTTTATACGATGTTTGGAACCTTTTAGGAGCTATGTCATAGTCGCTGACATTTTCTCCTCCTTCAGAATAGACCTTTCCCATATCATTTGCTTCTAACATTGCCCATTATACCCTCACAGAATAACATCATTCTAAATTTTCCAGCCTGCTTGGTCTCTGCAATAATTACGGGTATGTTATCATGCTGAGCGCCGCCGAGGATATACTGAGTCAACAACACGGAAAGAACAAAACAACGACAATAGACGCCTGCATGGTAAGTGACTTTGAAGATGTTCGTGGTAATTAGGACAAGAAGATGTTGATCAGAAAGGAACTTTTCGTTCTGCAAAACATAGAGACACGTCATTGTTTACTAGACTGTCTGTCTGAATGTACATGTTTTCAGATGTTTTATGTAACATCAAAGAGTAATCGGGTTTTGAATGGAATATGTTTCCTATAGATGTTTCCTATAGGGAAACCTGTTTTTCAAAAAATATTTTTTGAATAGCGAAACGACCAAAAAACTCTGGAAGTGGTTATTATTAAAATTTTGAAAGGGTTTTGGTCAAGAGACATTTAGAAAGGTTGAATAGGGAAAAGTAACAAATTTCTGTGGAATGTTTGTAGTCCTATAAAGGGTATGGATAAAAAAATCGAATAAATAATTTTTAAATTTTAGAGGCTTGGAAAAGTGGCTCCGCGTCACTTCAAAACTACGACACTTCGAAACCAGTCATTCTGAAACCGGTATTTTTGAAACCATCATGGTATGCTACAGACGAATGGGGATGATTTTCAGACTGCAAACACAATTCTAGGATTTTCAAATATGCTGTTTCTAATAGAACAAATTCTGAAATTAGAACAATTGAAAAAATTGAAGTTTGGGTTTTTCTTGGATTTCAGAATGTGTTCTATCAGAAAAGTCATTTTTTAAAATCCTAGAATTGCTCTTGCAGTCTGAAATTCATTCATTGGCCTGTATTACCACGGTTTTGAAATTACCGGTTTCAAAATGACTAGTTTTGAAGTGTCACAGTTTCGAAGTGACGAAGAGCCAAAAAAAACCTGTCGATTCGGAAATTCTGCATTTCAAAAACTGAATTTTAATTTTTTTTTTTTGAAAGTCTGGTTGGAAAAAAAATTATTGTAGTCGATCCTTCCGGGACCAGAGGTTCTCTAGTAAATGTTTGGCTTGTCCTGGCCTGTATCCGAATGGTATCCACCTACAGTTCCGGCCAATAAAATCTACAAAATTGAATTTTCCAGTTCATTTTCATTTTGTCCATTTTCCGAAGTCTGGGGCTCGGCTATCAAGTTTTGATCACTTTGAAAACTTTGGAGGGTGTGAAACGGACCTAGATTGAAAACTTTGCATTCACAGAATTTTTTAAAAGTTTCTAGTTTTTTCAGATGTTTGTTGATATCTGAAAAACACGCTTTTTGGCTCGTTTTTGTACTGAAAACATGAAAAAAACAGGTTCTTTCATAAATTGGCAACTTGTTGAAAAACTATGGATTTTCAAGAGTTCTATGGATGCTAAGATTTTAATCAACGTCTGTTTTACACTTTCGAAAATTTTCAAAGTGATCGGAAACTTGACAGCCGAGCTCCAGACTCCTGAAAATGGTCAAAATAGCCAGAAATCAACTCAAAACTGCACATTTCCAGCCCAACATCACTGTCCGAGAATGCAAACCACCAGTAGCTGAAGTTCTTGTTTCTGACAACTTGCCAAGTTTACTTGTCAAACTCTCCTTCCCATTCTTCATGGACAGATTCCCATTCGGGTAAGCGAAACATAACTACTCATATTACTCATTCAAAATTTCTTTGACAGGCTCCGAGTGGCAGTTGTTTGTATGTTGCAAGCTGCTTCGTACTTTGTTGTCGCCTTCTCTGTCTCCATTCCGATGTCACTAGCTGGAGTGGTTCTTGTTAGTTTGGGTGGTGGGTTGGGAGAGATTACGTTTCTGGGACTGTCCGCGCATTATCAGAGGTATCTAGAAGAGTCTTGGAAGAGACGTAGGAAGAAATTTCAGAATCGCTATTGCTGGATGGTCCTCTGGAACTGGAATGGCTGGATTGCTAGGTTCATTCTCTTATGCCTTCCTCACAGAACCTCATATGGCGAATTTGACACCAAAAGTTGCACTTCTGATACAACTCTTCATTCCAGTTCTATTTGCTTTTGCGTAAGATTCTTTTTGAGGCTAATCCTCTATTTGACCTCTATTTTCAGCTACTTCATACTTTTAGAGAAGCCCGAATCGGTATACTCTCCTTCGCTGAGTCCGAAGACGTGGATAGTGCCGAAGGGGTATGATGACTTTGTTGTCAGTGAACATAGAGTCCCTCAACGACAACTAACCCCATGGGAAAGGGTTCAGCTAATTGTGGTGAGTTCTAGAAAATTAGTTTTTCAAATTTTGGAATTGTTCTCAGCCTATGCTTCATCTGATGATCCCCTTGGCATTTGTCTACGTCGGAGAGTATATGATAAATCAAGGAATGACCCAACAGATTGTGTTTGACTGCAAACACGGATTCAATCTCTCCCTACACAGTCAGTACAGATGGTATCAAGTACTTTATCAATTCGGAGTTTTCGCATCCAGATCATCTATCAAGTTGATAGAGCTTCCAATGTGGGTGCTCTATTTGTTACCTATCCTTCAGGTGTGCTCTAGAAATCTTGAAAATCTGAAACTGAAAATTTTAGTTATCAAACATGTTATTCTTCTTTTTTGACGCTCTTTACTGGTTTGTTCCACATATCGGCATAATTTTCGCGTTGATCGTTTTCGAAGGGTTATTTGGAGGATCTTCGTATGTCAACACTTTCCACAAAATTCATAATAAGGTATAGCTTTAGAAAGTATGCTCTATTGATAATAATTTTATCCAGGTCGCACCGGATGTTCGGGAATATTGTCTTTCGGCTGCTTCCATGGGAGACAGTATCGGTGTAAACTTTGCGGCTGGAGTATCCATACCACTCCACTATTGGATGTGTGGACGACCGGCACCTCGGTGACACAAAAACTGTTCTAGACCTATTTTAATCTATTTTATCATATTGAATAATTTTATCGACATAAAACGAGTTTCATTCGAAAAACAAGACTATAAAAAGTTTTATGAAATGAGTTCTATTTTTGATTTTTGGTTGGAGATGGATTCGATTTTTCTTGTTTCGACGGGGTAAGTGGAGGGGCAGATGGAACAGATGATGGCTCTGACGACTTGCTCTTCGTGGATTCCTTGGACTTTTTGGGCTGTTTCTTTCCTGCTGGTTGGACAATCGCAGTCTCCGGTTGATCCATATTTGCAGGTGGTGGGGGTGGTGCAGCCCGTTGTGGTGGATATGCCCCACGAGCTGGAGCAGGCGCTCCATGATATGCGTAGGCGTCGTAGTTGTATGGATCTTGATAGTAAGGATCCGGATAGTAAGGATCCACGTAGTACGGATCATATGGGTCATACACAGCGACTGGTTCGACGATGGGCTCTGGCCTTGAACGGCATCCACCAACACAAACAATGACGATGACGATGATGCAAATGAGTACGCAGATTGATGATATTATGTAGATACCGTACTGAAAATTATGATATTGGTCTATTGGTTCAGGTTTTTTTAACTCACCATAGGAAAATCTCCTCCGACCGAGTAGTAGGGGTGATACTGTAATATGATTACTTTTTGGTACATTTTACAATGGTTCTGAATAGAGCGCATTTTCTGCAACCATATTGCTCATTTTGAGTGGTGGCCTAACTTTTGCGAGTTGGGTTTTCTAGGTCCCCACGTTAAAATGTTCTAGAATTCGTTCTTATGAGTTTTCTAAAAGATTTTTCGTGGTGGCCTAGGAAACTTAACTTGCAAAAGCTAGGCCACCTTTTAAAAATGACCCAGAAATGGCCTAACATACCCATGGTTTGTTTTCTAGGTAACTTTCACGTGATGGCCTAACTTTTGCAAGTGATGGTTTTCTAGGCCATCATGGTGAAATGGCATAGAAAACACACCAGGGGCGTGTCATTTTAACGTGGTGGCTTAGCTTTTACAGTTAGGGTTTTCTAGGCCACCTTCGTAAGATGTCCTGACATACTCCTGGTGTGTTTTCTAGGTCATTTTGAAGTGGTGGCCTAGTTTTTGC